CGCATTTCCGCGCCTTTTAGAACACTGCCTGCGTGTGCTTGCTGCCTTTCTTTTTCAAAATAATAATAAAAAAAAAAACTATAAGCCTGCTTTGCCTGAAATGCCCGATCCAAAAGCTCGGGTTGAATCTAGATTTTTTGGTCGAGTAAAAGTTCGGCTCAATTAGGGCAAAAAAAAAAATTCGAACCAGTTTTACTCGAGTCCAATTTTCGAGTTTTGGCTCAACTCGTTGACATCCTTATGAGGAACACGTTCTTCATTTTCGTCCTTATCCCGAATCCCCCGGTGGGATTGGGAATCAGATTCCAATTATCGAGAATATAACTGGAGGTAGGCAAGAAAAGTATAAATCTGCAAGCTTTAAGTAATTAAATGAATAATTAAAAGGGTGATAATCTGCATGATTTGGTTAGTAATTTGGATTATTTAATTATTATTATAAGGAATCATTTTTAAGCTGGATGTGATTATTTAGTTTAATTAATTCAAAATAATTTTAAACAAAACAACAAAGAGGAATCTTCCAATTGAAGCACTCATGTTGCTTCTCTGGGAGTTGGTACAACTTTCTACTATCGTGGGGCAAATTCGGTAGAGATTAAAATCAGATTAAAATTGAAAAATTAGTCGTTATTGTTGACTTTTATTAGACGAGTGGGACCCAATAACGGTTATATTTTCAATTTTAATTGGATTTTAAGTTTAACCAAACATATAATTTTAAAATTTACAATTTATTTAACATATAGTAAATCGACTTAGATAACAGAATAAATAATAATATTATTTTTTAATATTGTTCAACGTTATATAGTTCACTTTTTCTATCTAATAATTGCAAGTAGACGATCTTTTTTTTTGGTATTGAGTGGTTATATTTCCTCTAAGACATTTAAAAAATGAAGTTCATCAAATAAAAGAGAGTGTGGAGAGGCCCAAGAGGCCGCCGCCTTAGGCCCAAAATGTTTAAGGGCCATTTTTTTTTTTTTTTGGTTTTTAAATTAACCTAAAAAGCTAAAAGCCTAAAACCGTCTTCACTTCTCCCTCCACAGACAGACCACTGTTACGACGCTAGCAGAGGCGACTCTAGAGTATTTTGAATCTGGGTTTGGCTTAAGTAAGTGTGAATTTGAACTGGTTTTTGCAAATCTACATTTGCTCATGTTAATTGTTATTTTCAATTTTGGTAATGTAATCTCTAATGGGATTTTGTAAATTGAATATGTATTGTTAATGTTCTGGGTTTGGTTTAATTAGGTGTGCAATTCTAAGTGACCTTATACATAATTAGGTGTTTTGGGTTTGAGACAAATCCCAGAAATTTCTTAGGCTATTCAGGGAGAAACTGAATGAGAATTTAGTTGTTGATGTGCTAAAGAATGTACAAAGTACTAAATTAAGTGTCAAGTTCTTCATGTGGGTAGGTAGGCAAATAGGATATACTAATAGTTTAGCTGTTTATAATTCTGTTTTAGATTTATTGAGTTGCGGTAAATATGACAGAATATCGAACCATTTTTTAGAAGAAATTAGGGATGATGATAGAGAAGTGCTTGGGAGATTGGTTAATCTACCGATTCAGAAGTGTTGTAGAAATGGG